CTGTCCGGCGGCGTGCGCCCGCTGTGATTGGAAGAAAATCGTCAGCAAGTCCAAGAGGACACACACACACACTTTTTCCCGTCGGCGGCGAGGCAGAATGGCTGCATCAGCGCTGGAGCTGGACGGGGCACCGACAAGCGAATCGGCCAGCATGCAGGAAGGGGAAGAGGATGGACAGGGCGGCCGCGGAGGGGGGGAGAGCTGGGGCCACTCAGAGGCGGAAGACTTGCACACACACACACACACACACACACACACACACACACACACACACAAACACACACACACACACTATTCAGTCGGCGGCGCCGAGGGTCCTCAAGCGCAGGCAGCAGATGGAAGTGCTAATTGCGATCGAACATCGTCGAAGGCACAGCGTACGAAGCGTCGCACGCTGAAAGGTTCAGCACACACACACACACACACACATTCCTTCCCCCACCTCCTGCCTCATCCCCCTCTCCCATTGGCATCCCCTCCTCCCGTTCCCTTCCCCCCCCACTGCATTGAAAAACACTCCGTATAATGTGGAGCCACTCCATGTTGTGATACGAGCAGCTGCTGAAAATAGCTAGCAGCATATCAACTGCGCAACGCCTGCACGCAACAGCAAGCGAATATGTAAGACCTCGCAGGGCAACCCCAAGATGGGACACCAACTACTGTGAGGCTTGATCAACAAAAACCCTCAGAGCCACACATCATTAGACAGCACCAAGCGGCCAGTCATTTGAGTTCAGGAGGCCTTTGCCAGCGTTGTCAAGGCAATTGCTACCAGCGGTAGACTAATGTCTAATCTTACGCATGCACTGTTCGATTATCGTTGTGGCAGTTGTGGCAGTTCTTCGACATCAATATCGCTGTCATGTCCAAATTCAAATTCGAGAAGCGACTTACAGATACACTCCTCCTCATCATCATCATCAACAACAACATCAACATCAACATCAACACCAACATCAACATCATCAAACTCAGTTTGCCTTCCTCCCTCCTTTCCTCCACCCCGTCCTCCCTCCTCTTCCTCCCCCTTCTTCTCTCACTCATCTCAAAACCACCCTGGATCGGGCGGTGGTGGGTGCAGAGGGTAGCATGCTGGGGTCCCGACCGCCCCAGGCCAGTGTACTGCACTCGGGTCCCCTCGCGCAACGTAGTGGTCGGGTCCCCACCCCTCACTCCTCCCTCCCCGACCCTGGTTATCCTCCACCCCCAAGCCCCACCTCCACATCCTCGCCCACCTCCACCTCTTCTTCATCCTCCGCCTCCTCCACTTCCACCGCCTCCTCTCTATCCTCCTCGTTCGCCCCCACCTCCTCCACCTCCTCCACCCTCTGCCCCTCCAACTTTCTCGTCTTCTTGTTTCCCGAATAGCGCTTTGCTAAAGACGACAAAAACACAGAGGAGTCTCACAAGGGGGACAGGGGAGCCCGGGAGCCCTAGGAAGCCTTGTCCAGTAGCGCAGAACTATCATCAACTATGAACTCAGAACTCCTGCTCTCGCCACAATGCCCGCTTCCTTTTTGGTCCGGACGGCCACGACTCCTCGGAAAAAAAACTACGGTGCGCATGCCCGAGACCGCCTGGTCGGGCAGCCGTTTCGCCCGAGACTTCCTAAAAAATCATGTTACAATCCTGGAGATCATTCTTTGGTTTGCAAGGATTGCCCGGGTTATCGGGGGAGAGGGGACGGCAGGAAACCTAACATTTTCGCTTTCGGTAGCCACCCATGCCCGCGCGCACCAGTTCTGCGCACCCCCTTCGGGCCTGTGCAGCCAACAACATCAGGGTATCCAGGGGTCGCGCGGGCCCGATAACAGGGGAACGAACAATGACCTCAACATACAAATTCTGAGGTCCGCGCGGATTTCTTGGGCGCGGAGCGCGCCAGGGGCGGCGCCTGAGGCGCCGCCAGGGGACCACAGCGCCGATCCGAGAAATCCGCGCGGACGTCTGAGTGATTATGTTCATGTCATTGTTCGTTCCCCTAGATGACTTGGGTGATCGCAAGACCTCAAAAAAAACAGTATGCTGCTCTTGTCGCAATGCCAGCTACATCGGCCCAAACGGCCATGATCCCTCGTAAAAGAACACTCTGAGGTGAACATGCCCGAGACCACCCGGCCCAGCCGTCGCTTCACCAACGATTTCCTCAAAAAGTATTCAGGAGCCGTGCTCTCGCCCGAATGCCGGCTTCATGTTTGTTGGTCCGGACGGCCGCCATCCCGTGCTCTTCCTGGGGATACCCAGGAATGAACGCTTTCACTACGTAGCTGTCCACCTACTCCACGGACCGACTCTCCACCGTTGCTGCTATCAGAGTGCTTTGCTGGAGGAATCCGCTGCCTCCTCCACCTCCTCCTCCGCCCTCTCCGAGTCCCCTTCCTTCTTCTACCCTCGCCTCTATCTCGCCCCATGGAGACTCCTGCTCCTGGCCATTCCGTTGCCACGCGCCCCGACAGAGCCGCGCTACTGGAGGCGGCCCGGCCTCGGTCCAGCTGTCCTTGCGCGGGCTAGGAGGGGAGCCAAGGATAGAAAGAGGGGGCGCAACAATGGGGTCCAGTAGACTCTCCCCCTCTTCCGCCTCATCTCTCTCTCTCTCTATATATATGTATATATATGTATATATATATATATATATATATATGTATCGCTCTCTCTCTCTCTCTCGCTCTCTCCCCCTCTCTCTCTCTCTCTCTCTCTCCCGGCGGCTGTAATGAGCCACACTTACTTCATACTTCCTAGGAGCACAGCCTGACCCTGCCAGAACAGCCCGCCTCCTCCTCCCCCACATCTCGTTCTGCAATCGTTATTTTGAGCGCCACGAGGTGAGATGCTCGCGCCGACGGCGAGAAATGCACAGCTCGACGACAGCCCAAGCATCGAATCCGCGAACGGTCAAATCGGGAATGGAAGCAAGAGGTTTGGAGGGGGATTGGGAAGAGGAGGAGGAGGAAGAGGAAGAGGAAGAGAAGGAGGAGGAGGAGGAGGAGGAGGCGAAGGGGGAGGAGGAGGGGGGGGAAGAAGAGGAGGAGGAGGAGGAGGAGGAGGCGGAGAGGAAGGCGGAGGAGGAGGAGAAAGGAGGGGGAGGGGGGGAGCGGAGAGGGGAGGAGGAGGAGGAGGACGGTGAGGAGGGGCGGGAAGGAGGAGGCGGAGGACGAGGGAGGAGGAGGAGGAGGAGGCGGAGGAGGCGGAGGAGGACGATGCGGCGGAGGAGGAGGAGAAGGAGGAGGAGAAGGAGGAGAAGGAGGAGGGGGCGGAGGGGAAGAATGAGGAGGAGGAGGAGGAGGAGGAGGAGGGGGGGGAGGAGGAGGAGAAGGAGGAGGAGGAGGAGGAGGAGGAGGAGGAGGAGGAGGAGGAAGGGGCAGGGGAAGAGGGAGGATAGTGGAGGGAGATGACGTTGCAGGGGCGGGCGCGAGGATGTAGCCCTGCAACGTGAGGGGCTCAGAGCCTCCTGACAAGGGGGGCGGCTCTCGCGCAGCTCTGCCTCTTCGGGTTGCTGGGGACAGCGGCCGCGCGGCACGTCCCGCCGAAGTGGAGGGGGTTGGGGCACCGCGTGCCGAATGAGCAGTTGGCCAAGAGCAGGAAGACGAAGAAGAAGAAGAAGGTTAAGAAGAAGAATGAGAAGAAGAAGAAGAGGAATAATAAGAAGAAAAACATTAAAAAGAAGAAGTCCTAGCTCAAAAGAGGCCCGCGAGGGGGCAGGACACAAATATAGCCTGGCTCTCTGGCAAGTGAACTGCTCGAAAAAGTCTTCGTGCGAGATCCACTATGATCGTGAGCCAGCGGCATGATGCCATCCACATAAACCAGCATGTTCGGCGTACCGGCGCAGCGAGCTCTCCCATTTCATCCATGGGCGGCACGACGGTCGAGAAGGCCTGTCGTACACGTTACGCACGGCAGCCGTTGAGGAGAAGCAGGACGAAAGAATCTGACAAGCTTGAGGAGGTTCCGGTTCGGGCAAGCTATGCCAAGGCAGCGGAACCCAAAGCGAGACCGACTGAAAGGCATTCGAGGCACGCGGCGACACGGAAACCGGGCCGCTCTTCTTCGCAAGCACCAGCGTCGCTGTCGATGTCGCTCAGCGTCATCCTCTGCTCTCGGCACTGGCACCGCCAACCTTGACAAGAGTTGGAAGAGCGTGTGTGAGATCGTACACCTTGCCATTGGGATCATTTGAATTGTCCAGGGCGCGCGAGATGGTGCGCGTGGTTGTCTCAAAAACTAGCCCACAACGATTCTCGGGACTGTCGTCCACCATCGTAGGACATTCCGACTGGTCCTTGTTCAGAAAGGCTTCTGCGAAGGCCGACGCTGGCTTTCATCAGTGCTGATCCTTTCAAGTCGGTCCAGGATGGGTCAGACAGCAAACCACCTCCCAAATTCCTCAAGAGGGCTTCGTGAGCCATTGCTGCTTGCCCTGACGAAGGCAAGGATCCTACGGTCATGATTTGTGGGATCTTCCCAAGCACACTGCCGCAAAGCTCAGCGATAGCCGAGCACGTAAGCACTACACTCTGCGGGCAGGTTGCCAACTGACAAGTAGAGATCGCAGCAGATTACCTGTCCGCGGCTCGAGTCGTACAGCGAGATGTCGAGAAGCAGCTCGCTGGTTCCAGCATGTTTGCGAGAATCCTGAAGCTCACAGGAAGTCTCGAAGGGACCCCAATTCCCCAAACAGTGCCTGCACTTCGGGGCTCTTCCTCTCTCACTTCTCCTCTAAGGAACTGGCCCTGAATGCCGGCCTGACGGCTCCGTGCTCGCCCTCGCCGCCCCGTCGCTGCCTCGTCGCCACCCGTCGTCAGGCTGATTGTCGTGGGTTTGTCGGCTCCGTGCTCGCCATCGCCGCCCCCATCGGCACCTCGTCGCCGCCCGTCGTCTGGGCCTGGGAGGCGGTCTGGCGGCTCCGCGATCGCCGTCGCCGCCCCGTCGCAGCCTCGTCGACGCCCTGTCATTCTCCTTTCTAAAAAAAAATCCGCCGACCCCAGAGGCGCGTGAGGGAAAGTGACCAAACTCGGCCACACCCCCACCCCAGATAGCTGTGATCACGCCCTCTGCTCTTGGGAACCCCGACTCGACATTTCCTGGACCAGAACCATCAACGCCCCCCACCTGGACCCCTTCCTGGCCTGGCATTCCTTGCCGGGACCCCTCCACCACGGCTCCACCGCGACTGACACCGCCAGCCTCCTGAGTCGGGGAGACGTAAGACCCGGGTACGGGGGACTCGGAAATCCCCGACGAGGTCGTCAAAAAAATGACGAGGCCGAGCCTGCATTTTGACGAGGCCTCCCGCTGCAGACATCCCACGAAACTCCTCCTCGTCAAAATCCGAGTCGCGGTCGTCAAAAAAGGATGGCGAACCCGAGTCCCGGCAAACCCGGGTCTTACGCTCCCCCGACTGAGGCCCCTGGGCATACGTTTTTCGGGCCCCCGCACCCAGCAAGATCCTCGCCGGGACCCTTCCACCACGGCTCCACCGCGTCTGACCCCGCCAGCCTCCTGAGGCTCCTGGGCATACGTTCTTCGGGCCCCCGCACCCTGCAAAATCCTTGCCGGGACCGTCTGACACCGCCAGCCTCCCCCCGCTCCGGCACCCCCCCTCCTGCCCCCGGCATGCCCACCCATCCCGAGAGAAAAGGCTGTTCTTGGGCCCCCCCCACAATCCAAAAACCTCTCCGGGACCCCCCACCGCGCTCGGCACCACGCCGCCCCAACAGGCCAAAATCGGCCCCGGCACCCCGCCGCCGCAACAGGCCATTATCGTTGATGCCCATTGATTTTTTCAATGTTTTTCGCTTTCACGCTTTCCGACGCTCCACGACCGCCCAAGAGGCCCCCTACACCGCTCCCCAAGCCTCTGGAGCTCTGTTTGTGGGTTCCCCGACTCTGCAAAAACCTCGCCGGGACCCCCCACCGCGCCCCGGCACCCCGCCGCCCCAACAGGCCAAAATCGTTCATTCCCATTGTTTTTTTCAATGTTTTTCGCTTTCCCGTTCTCCGACGCTCCACGACCGCCCAAGAGGCCCCCAAGACCGCTCCCCAAGCCTCCGGAGCTCTGTTTTTGGGCCCCCCGACTCTGCAAAAACCTCGCCGGGACTCCCACCGCGCCCCGGCACCTCGCCGCCCCAACAGGCCAAAATCGTTGATCCCCATTGAGTTTTTCAATGTTTTTCACTTTCCAGCTTTCCGACGCTCCACGACCGCCCAAGAGGCCCCCAAGACCGCTCCCCAAGCCTCTGGAGCTCTGTTTGTGGGCCCCCCGACTCTGCAAAAACGTCGCCGGGACCCCCCACCGCGCCCTGGCACCCCGCCGCCCCAACAGGCCAAAATAATTGATTTCCATTGAATTTTTCAGAATGTTTTTCACTTTCCAGTTTTCCGACGCTCCACGACCGCCCACGAGGCCCCCAAGACCGCTCCCCAAGGCTCTGGAGCTCTGTTTTTGGGGCCCCCGACTCTGCAAAATCCTCGCTGGGGCCCCCCACCGCGCCCCGGCACCCCGCCGCCCCAACAGTCCAAAATCATTGATTCCCATTTGATTTTTCAATGTTTTTCGCTTTCCAGCTTTCCGACGCTCCACGACCGCCCAAGAGGCCCCCAAGCCCGCTCCCCTAGCCTCTGGAGCTCTGTTCTTGGGCCCCCCGACTCTGCAAAAACCTCGCCGGGACCTCCCACCGCGCCCCGGCACCCCGCTGTCCCAACAGGCCCAAATCGTTGATTCCCATTGATTTTTTCAATGTTTTTCGCTTTGCAGCTTTCCGACGCTCCACGACCGCCCAAGAGGCCCCCGAGACCGCTCCCCAAGCCTCTGGAGCTCTGTTTTTGGGCCCCCCGGCTCTGCAAAAACCTCGCCGGGACCCCCCACTACGCTCCGGCACCCCGCCGCCCCAACAGGCCAAAATCATTGATTCCCATTGGATTTTTCAATGTTTTTCGCTTTCCAGCTTTCCGACGCTCCACGACCGCCCAAGAGGCCCCGAAGACCGCTCCCCAAGCCTCTGGAGCTCTGTTTTTGAACCCCCCGACTCTGCAAAAACCTCGCCGGGACCCCCCACCGCGCCCCGGCACCCCGCCGCCCCAACAGGCCAAAATCGTTGATGCCCATTGATTTTTTCAATGTTTTTCCCTTTCCCGCTCTCCGACGCTCCACGACCGCCCAAGAGGCCCCCAAGACCGCTCCCCAAGCCTCTGGAGAGCTCTGTTTTTGGGCCCCCCCACTCTGCAAAAACCTCGCCGGGACCCCCCACCGCGCCCTGGCAGCCCGCCGCCCCAACACGCCAAAATCGTTGATCCCCATTGATTTTTTCAATGTTTTTCACTTTCCAGCTTTCCGACGCTCCACGACCGCCCAAGAAGCCCCAAGACCGCTCCCGAAGCCTCTGGGGCTCTGTGTTTGGGCCCCCCGACTCTGCAAAAACCTTGCCGGGACCCTTCACCGCGCCCCGGCACCCCGCCGCCCGAACAGGCCAAAATCGTTGATTCCCATTGACTTTTTCA